ATGGAATCGTGTAGTGTAGGCAGATATGTTTTCCTCCTTAATTTGAAGATTCCATAACTCCATTTCCAAATTTTGGAGTTCACTTCTTGGACAATACTCGTTCTTAAGAAGTTTCTTGAGTTCTTCCCATGAAAGTTGATTGGCTACTTCGCGACCCCTTGTCTGAACTAATGTGTTCCACCACGTCAAAGCTTTGCCTTGCAATAAACATGCAGCATATTCTACTTTGCTAGCTTCAAGGCATTTGCTGATATGGAGGACGGACTCTAGCCTTCAATTCAGGTCAACAATCCTATGGTTCCCTCATTTCCATTAAATTCCTTCGGATTGCAGGATCTGAAAGATTTATAGGTGCATTCCCTAGATGTCCTAGGCTCAGAACTGGTAGGCTGATTAACATTCAGACCCGCAGCCACCTGACTGACTATATTGGGTAGCGCAGCCAAGAGTTGCTCTGACACGAGTCGTGCAACCTCTGGGTTTTCTCTCCTTGGCGGCATCTTCTATGCCATGATAAAAAGGAAGCCCCATTATTTTCATGGCAATATTACGGATAATAATTTCTAATCAACAGGATGATGCATAGGATATGATATCATTAGAGCAGTCATATGATCATCAGAATATTTCATATTCATCCAAAATTCATTACATTCAAACGACTTCAAAAGATACTAAAGGGTTTTCCAAAAGATTAAAATCCCTCAAACAAATTTTAAACTTCAACAAAAAAGTAATCATCTTAGCACTAAACATTGCTTCTAGAGCAGCATCCAACAGATAAGCACTCCTAGTGGTAGTATCAACAGTACACTTGCCATTAAACATCTATACAATCTTCTAATTTCGCGTCTTGCAGCAACGACAGCATCCGAGTTCCTTATCATTCGCTGGTGATGCGCCTCCATCACATAGAACTGGTTGTTCAAAATGTGATGATGATATCCCAGCCGGGTCTGGTGGGTTTTAGTTTCCACTGCAATTCTCCGCACCCATTCTTGTTCCTCTAGAGTCATGCCTTGGGTGTAAGAGGCAAGTATCCCAGTCACCACTCGAGAGTCTCCACTCCTGGTTTGAGTTTGGGATGCCTCTCCTCTAGTTCTACTTGAGTTTTCGAAAGTTACCCTTCGAGGTAGTGATACACTTCTGCTAGCCGGGACCCTAATCCTTGGGCCATGAAACGTTTGAGGTGGTAGATCAGGTACTGATTCTGATGGTGGTAAAAGTGATGCAGATGATAAAGCAAGTGCTTCGCTGGTTGCTAAGTTCCCAGTCATATGGATCAACATCTTCATTGATTGGTATGCTCCTTCTAGATCGACCAATCGCGTACCCAGATTCGTCCGCTGAATATTCACTAGATGATGACATAGTGATCTGTAATATTGGCAAACTTAATTACTAATCACATCATCAATAAAACTCTTAAGGTTAAGACGAGAGTTGCTATGGTAGAAGCATAAGGCTAGAAAACAAATTAGAGCTTCTGAATGACCAGAGCCTCTGGTTGCATTACCAGAGCTTCTAGTCGAGGTTCCCATACTAAGAACTATATTTGACTATTAGCTCATCGATCTCTGATTTAACTTTTATAACAATCCATTGAATCTCTTGGTTCATTGATCTCAGATTCCTCATGTATGGTAAACCGATGAATCCCCTTCCATCGATCTCAAGTTCCTCATACTTGGCAAACCAATGGATGGCCTTCCATCGATCTCTGGTTCCTCATGCTTGGAAAACCGATGAATCGCCTTCCATCGATCTCTGGTTCCTCATACCTGGCAAACCGATGAATCACTTTCCATCAATCTCTGGTTCCTCATACTAGACAAATCAATGAATCGCCTTCCATTAATCTCTGGTTCCTCATAATAGGCAAACCAATGGATCGCCTTCCATCGATCGCTGGTTCCTTATGCTTGGCAAATCGATGAATCACCTTCCATCAATCTCTGGTTCCTCATACTAGGCAAACCAATGGATCGCTTTCCATCGATCTTTGGTTCCTCATACTAGGCAAACCAANTAGGCAAACCAATGGATCGCTTTCCATCGATCTTTGGTTCCTCATACTAGGCAAACCAATGAATCACCTTCCATCAATCTCTGGTTCCTCATACTTGGCAAACCAATGGATCGCCTTCCATCGATCTCTGGTTCTTCATGCTTAGAAAATATTTCCTTTTCACATACCAGAGCCTCTGGTTCTTCTAACCAGAGCCTCTTGCTCTCGAAATCAAGCCAACTAGAGCTTCTGGTCGCTCTTCACTTAAATAGAATAGTGGTCTTTCAATCAAATCTAGAACACAATGCCCACTTCCTATGTCAAGGCAAATCTTACCTAAAGTGTAGTGCGAATTCTTAAATACAGAGACTATAGAGACTAGATCCTTTATCCATGTTCTGCTACCAAGTGTTCAAATACAAAATTGACCCTCTGATCGAATTAGTGCTCTATATAACTTGCTTCACTTCACAACCAGAGCTTCTGGTTAGTCTAGGGCAATGTATATTCAAAATTTATGCAAACACACACGATCATGCTTTTCAGGTTTTAGATAAAATCTCTAAATTTGAGCATATTTTTAACTCGTCTGATTGGAATCTTTTATCATAATACTTAAGTTAAACATAAATGATCAGGCTCTGTTTAATTTGAAGTATAATAATATAACAATCAACCTCTGGTTATGCTAGTGACATTGCTTTGAAAATATTTAGTTATAGTTTGGTTTTAAGAAAACCGGTGTTCTCTGTAACTGAAGCTCTAATACCAAATCTGTCACACCCCACTAAAGCGGAAACACGAGGCGTAACAGGTAAGCATTTCATAGCTCCAATCGATAGATAACACTACTAAGTACAATATCCAGAAAGAACCTTACAATATCATCAAGTTTACTGTTCACGAAGAAAAGTTTATATACAGATAGAAGTTTCTAAAGCTTGCGAACAGATGATAACGAAAGATGCTTCGAAAAACTTCCATTCTTACTTAATTTCCTGAAAAAGCATGAAATATAAAACGACGTCAACTACAAAGAGTTGGTGAGTTCACGGGTTTTCAAATGCATAAAATATTTACCATGCATAAAACACAGCTTGCAAACTATTACATAACATGCTCATTATAAATGTAAGTTTTCATCGATGCTGAAAAACTTGAGACGCTACAAAGCCTTACCTGACCAATGTGCCCCATTAATTCACGAACTATCATAAGTGGCCCGTCCACTCACTTAGGTACCACGGTTCGTATTAGTACTACTTCAGCGGTGACCTTTCACACAAATGAGTAGACTATTTAAAACTTAGGTAATGTGCACCCTTTTCTGGGTGGGACTGTCAACACAATAGCGGCTATTCACAATTACCACGGCCCGGGGGGACGTGCCCGAGTTAACTAGTAGCGTGTATGGATGGGGACTTTTTGCAATATCCTCTCAAGCACATCAATTTACCATTTATAAGTAGTGCATTAGAATTCAAATTTTTCATGATTCTCGCAACATTTGACTAAGCAGTTCGTTAGTCCATTAGTTTTACAACTAAAACAACATAGTTTGCATTCTTTCATGCTTTTTCCCCCAGTTAAAAGAAATAACTAAAGCAGTAAAAGTGGGGCCGTAAAAACTCAAAAGTTTGAAGGAGAATATCCAAGATTCTTGTGAAACTTAGAGCACCAACGTCCGCACTAATGTCCTAAACACCCGAAATTCCAATAGTTAGATCACCTGTCAAGTCACGATATAGATAAAGTAAGATTATATCTTATGTAATGCCAATAAACGTTTATGGGTTAAAGTTGAAACCAAAAATAACCCAATATTTAATTAAATAAAAGGTTTTTGCACAAAAAGTTGCTATTTGGACAGTTATACAGATTATGTTCCTAGACTCTTTGTTTCACCAATCATTGTCAATGGAACCTTCAAAAAATCATTTTACTTTTAATCTTTTAAAACTACAACAATCACTGTTGTTAGATTTCTTTTGTCTAACAACATCATTTTTGCTCCTAAAATTTTATATTAAACATTTAAATACTCAAAGAATTCACATTTTTGAGTGAAACCGAACAGTAACAACAACTAATCCAAAACAAATTTCAAGAAAAGTCAAATAGTTTGGGGTTGATTTTGAAGAATATGGTTGACAGGATTGTTAGAAACAACATGTTAATTTCAAAATGTCATTTTTTATTGATTAAATACTACATGCAATGTGGTTTTATCTCACTTTCTTGAGTCCTAAGTTCATAGATCATAGATTATCATCATTTTGGGAGCATTTTCATGTCCTGATGAAATAATCTCCCATCTTAGAATCTCTAGAAAATTTTGAGCTCAAGATGTAGCAAGAAATATAAAAATACGAGAAACATTATTGTAAAATGGTTCGAAAGTAAAACCAATCTTATTACCTTTTTGCTTGATCTCTCTTGAAGACTTGAGTGTTCTTCAAGAAGAATTTTTGGAACTTGGATTCGGTCTTGGAAGAATACGAAAAGGTTTAGAAAGAGAAAGAGAGAGAGAAAAGTAAAGGTGAAATAAAAGATTTTCAAAAGAGGTGGTGTTTTTATATGAAGGTAGAGGGGCCGGCCCATATAAGGCCCAACCATCATATTTTTCTTTTATTTTTCTTATACAAACTTAGCCCAAATAAATATAAATTTAAATACATTTTATCAATACCAATAAAATTATTCATTATTAAGTCAAAATTCTAAATTTTGTARAATAAAAATTATTTGCACATACAGTTAAAACTTTATATTTTTAAATTTTTAAATTTTATAATATTGACTTTATTTATTTTAAGAGAATTTTAATRTATTTGGCATTACATAAGTTACTTTTTCAGTTACCCATCGTGACAGGGTTTTCTGAGCTACAAATTTGGGAGCTAAGTTGATTGATTTTCTATTCAACATRACTAATTCCTAATAAATTAAAGTCCTGATTATAGGAGTCCTTTTAAAGCTGCTAACCTGATGCTCAAAAGTGACGGATGTCACATTCTCCTTGAGGGGAATTCACTACYGCTGGTCTATCAGGAAGAGTATCCAAGGCTRGTTCWGAGTCGGCTAGAGGACTCTCCATGAGTGGACTAGGAGACTCGTCGACAGTCTCAATGTCTTGTGCACCTATTCCTTGCTCTGAACAAGGTGGGGAGTCTANGGCTAGAGGACTCTCCATGAGTGGACTAGGAGACTCGTCGACAGTCTCAATGTCTTGTGCACCTATTCCTTGCTCTGAACAAGGTGGGGAGTCTACACGTGTAGAGGAAACGAATTCCTCTGTATGGGAAAGTGGCGTGATATGGGGAGGCATATCACTTATATGTTCAAATGTTGCACCCTTTTGAGAGGGTGTTCCCTGTGGTGTGGCTTCCCTTTGGATGTCATAACAAGAGGCATATGCGACCTCTGATTGGTTTGGTTGGTTTAGGTTCAAGGTGTGCACCTCTATTTCAATGGCCTTCGTGTCTCGACCACTAGAGTCAGACAATTTCTTTGCACTGGGAGGTGGAGTATCGAAATGAATGTGCCTATTTAGCCTAGGCTGCTCTAGCTCACCCTGAGGCAGAGCAGCTGCTTCACCTCCTCCCTCTTCTTCTTCACTATTTTCCTCTTCACTCTCAATCTCTTCTCCTTCACTCTCACTCTCTTCTTCTTCTTCCTCACTCTCCTCGCTAGAAGTGTAGGACCTAGAAGCATCATCAAAATGCTCTTGGTCATTCTCTTGATTAGAGCTAGAGGATTGATGATCTTCTTCCTCTTCTTTGAGTCTTGCCTCCTCTATTAGGCGCGTGATCTCTGCCTGTCGAGCTTTTTCTGCTCGCTCTTCCTCTCTGCGTACATGAGCAAGCTCAGCCAATCTCTCTTGCTCTACTCTCTCTGCTTCTTCCTTTTCTTCCTCTCCCTTTGTATTTTCTTTTTCTTCGCCTCCTCTCGTTTTCTTTGTTTCTCCTTTTCTTGCTCTACTCTCATCGCCTCTTCCTCTGCTTGAGGCCTTAAAGTGTCCTCTGTTCTTTCTTCCTCTTTTGCTGTGCCTATGCGTACTGGGGTTCGAGACACTGGTTCTAGTGTCTCGCGTGTACGTCTGTACACTCTTCTAATCTCCTTCTTCTTTATATACGCATAAAGCTTCGTTGAAATGGGTCATTTTGTTGCGTATCCCTTTTTGTTGACTGTCGGCCTGTAATGAGTGAGCACGTTCACTTTGTGCATGGGCAGACGACCCACATCGATATTGTTGTCATCGAGTGTAGGCCTTAGAAGAAGACCCAAGAAGCACGGAAATAACAGAGATGGAAATTGTCTCCCTTTGGCCACCTCTTGACATTTCTTGGCCACGACAGCCTTGAACTCTGTGTAGAGTATCAAGGAGTAATCCAGAGACAAATCAAAGAAGATGTCATACAAGATTTGAAGGATGTTCGTGGAGCACATGTCGAGGCTCCCAATCTTCCATGTCAGCGATCTGTTGACCAATGTGAACAGTGTATTCCACATTGGAGGTAGGTATTGACGACGATATTGTGATGGGTACTGGATTGCCTTGTTGTACCCCAAAAATTTCAAGAAGGCCACGATCTCGTCCCCGGATGGGAGAAGGGAGTACTCAGCAAGCCCTAGGTCTGTTTTTTTGGGATTTCAAGAACGCGGGAAAACATGGACGTGGATATTCGAACATTGACAAATTCTTTTGAGGATGAGACATAAAAATCTCCAATGATTCCTCTTTGAGAGTCGATAATGGTGCAAGATTTCCAGAATTCTTGGATATACCTTTCAGGTACAAGGTCATTCGTGTTTGTCAAAGCATGGTTTAGAAAGTGGTTTTGGAGGATGTTGATGATTGGATGGTATTTTTGGTCAAAATTTTCAATAGAGAGGTGAAGGACATGATTATTGGGTTTGATTGGAAGAGGAACCAGGTTTTGACTGGTTTCCTAAACGGTTTTGTGGGTTGTGGTGTGGGTTTGGGAATTTCCAGACTCAAAAGACGACATAGTTGCAGGTTTTTGGGTGAAAAAGAAGGGTTTGAAGAAAGCTAAGGTTTCAAGAATCAGTTCTTGATTCTTAAAAAGGTTTTGAGGAAAGGGTTTAAAGAACTTACTTGACAAATGGGATGAAGTTTTGATGACTGAATGGAGTTCCGTAGACTGGTTTGAGAGCTTGAAAGAGTAACAAGGGCGATTTGGAGGTTGAAGACGACGAGTGTTCTCGGATTTCTTTGTAAGCGTAAAAAGTAATTTGGGGGTAGATAATTTGTTTAAATAGAAAAAATAAAGTACTCAAGCAATTGCGCCCTAAACGTTAGTTTAAAAACTGAAGCGATTTTTGAACAGCCTGTAGGGGCGCACCACATGGAATGCCAGCTGCAAGTGGCGCCTCCCACGTTTGAAAAATTAAGCTCACAGGCGGTGACGCTTAATTTAAATGACAACTATTAAAAATATTAAAAATAAAGAACCATACGCCTTCTTAATAGAATAATATATTTTGAATTTTCAAAAAAATAGACAAGTGTAAATACTCTGGTTTGTGTAAAACTAGAGGTTTTCAAAGGAACCAGAGTACTACATGAAGAGAGAGAACTTACCTTAGGATCTCATACAGAGACTCGTGATGGAACTTATACATCTCCTCTATGTAGAAAAACTATTATGTTTAGAGGCAGAGGCTCTGTATAGTACATACAGAGGCTTTATCCTATAATCATAAAAAGTTTTGAAGTAGAGGCTCTATATAGTACATACAGAGGCTCTGTGTGACTTGATCTGGTGCTCTCCCTTGACTTGAGCTCTTCTTATCTGCTCCCCCTTGAACTATGCTTGGATCATATGTGATACGTATTGCACAAGCATAAGACCCAAGATATAGAGGCTTTGTATGTACTATACAGAGGCTCTGTATCACAAGACAACTAGGACTTGAGCAAGAGGCTCTACATGTACTATGCAGAGGCTCTGTCTCATTGAACAATACAATAAACAACAAAACAGAAGTATGCAAAAAGGGATGCAGAGGCTCTTTATAGTACATACAGAGGCTCTGGCTTAGTTTGAAAGATTGAGCATACCCAACTTGCTAACCAAAAAGGTAAATCTTTTTTCATCATGAGTTTTTGTAAATATTTCTGCAAGTTGTAAATCTGTACTAACAAAGAACATTTCAATCGTACCTTTCTTTACGTGGTCCTTGATGAAATGATAGCGAACATCGATGTGCTTTGTTTTCTAGTGTTGCACTGGATTGGTTGTGATTGCGATAGCACTTTCTGAGTCACACATGATTGGAATTTTCTCGAACTCAACGTCATAGTCTTTCAGTTGAGTCTTCATCCATATCACTTGGGAACAACAATTAGTTGCAGCTACATACTCTGCTTCAGCTGTGTAAGTAGAGACGCAGTTATGCTTCTTTGAGGTCCAGCTTATGAACTTGTCCCCAAGTAATTGGCAGCTCCCTGATGTACTCTTTCGATCAAGTTTACAACCTGCAGGATCAAAATCTATGTACGCAATAAGATCAAAACCAAAATACTCTGGATACCACAAACCTAGAAATTGAGTCTCTTTGAGGTATCTAAAGATTCTTTTTACATCTGAAAGGTGATATTCCTTAGGATTTGCTTGAAAACGTGCATAGAGATATGTGGCAAACATGATGTCTGGTCTACTAGTCGTGAGGTATAGTAGTGATCCAATCATTCCATGGTAAGTCATAACATCCACCGGTTTTCCAGATGAATCTGTGTCAAGCTTAGTTCCCGTAGCGATTGGTGTTCTCATAATCGAAGAGTTGTGGAGTTGGTATTTCTTTAATATGTCGGAGACATACTTAGCTTGGCTAATGAAAATACCATCCTCCCTCTGTTTTACTTGCAAGCTGAGGAAGAATGTTAATTCTCCCATCATGCTCATTTGAAACTCGCTCTTCATTAATGTAGAGAACTTATCACATTGCCTCTGGTTCGTTGAACCAAAGATAATGTCGTCCACATATATATGTACTAAAAGCATCTCACCTTTATAACTCTTAATAAAAAAAGTTGTATCAATTTTACCTTTTTCAAAACCATTAGACAAGAGAAAAGATGAGAGACGTTCATACCAGGCTCGAGGTGCTTGCTTAAGCCCATACAGAGCTTTGTCCAAGAAATAGACGTACTCTGGATGTGTGGAGCTTTCAAACCCTAGAGATTGTTGAACGTAGACTTTCTCCTTCAGCTTACCATTCAAGAAGGCTGACTTAACATCCATTTGATAGACTCAGAATCCCTTATGAGCAGAGAAGGCTAAGAACAAGAGTAAAGCTTCTAGCCTTGCTACTGGCGCACAGGTCTCATCATAGTCTATGCCTTCTTCCTGGCAATAGCCTTTTGCTACGAGCCTAGCTTTATTTCTAACAACGATCCCATCCTCATCGTTCTTGTTCCTGAAAACCCATTTGCAGCCAATTGCAATTTTATCCGTTGGCAAAGGTACAAGAGTCCATACCTTATTCCTCTCGAATTATTGGAGCTCTTCTTGCATGGCATCGACCCAACTAGGATCTTGTAAGGCTTCATGTACTTTATTAGGCTCTACCATGCTTATAAAGATTACGAATAAACATTCATTAGCCGTGGCAGCCCTTGTCTTCACACCGCTTGAAGGTTCACTGATGATCTAGTGAAGAGGATGATCCTTTGTCCATCTTGTTCTTGGGACAGATACAGAGGTTGGGGACGTTTGATCACGTTCCATAGGCATATTTGGCATTGAGCTCATTGATGGCGAAGAAGGTTCTACTTGCTCCCCCTCGGATGATGGTATAGAGGAACCAGGTGTAGAACTAGAGGTATCATGCTTTTTCTCTACGAGACTGGGCTCTGATGCAGAGCTTGTTTGCTCTGGCTGTGGATTGGCATGATCACCAGAGGAAGCAGAGGTGTGTGAAGGACCAGAGTCAGATGCACTTGTCGTTTGTGGTTATTCACTTACACTCGTAGATTCATCTCTTGGTGCACGTACAGAAATGTCTTCATCGCCATATAAGTCTTCAAATAAGAGCTTGAGTTCCAATTCCCTTGCATTCATTTGAGAATTGGAAGTCTGCTTGTTAAGCTCGAGTCCATAGTTGAGGTACTCTGAAGTCATTTGTTCTTTATCGTTGAACGAGACGTTGATGCTTTCCATGACCGTCTTGGTTCGTTGATTGAAGACTCTGTATGCCTTGGCTTTTGTGGAATAACCAAGGAACTTGCCTTCATCAGCCTTCTTGTAAAACTTGCCAAGTTGATCTTGATCATTCAAGATGAAGCATCTGCAACCAAAGACATGCAAAAATGTAACGTTAGGCTTTCTTTGGTTGATTAGTTCGTAAGGCGTCTTCATATGCCTCTTTACCACCGTTGCTCTATTTTGAATAAAGCCGGCGGTTGAGTTGGCTTCAGCCCAAAAACGGGTTGGAAGACCAGATCTGGCTAGCATGGTTCGAGCCGCTCCGACCAGAGTTTGATTCTTTCTTTCTATGACACCATTTTGTTGTGGTGTCCTTTCTGAAGAGAAATTTTGAGTTATTCCCTCTGTGTCTAAGTACACATCAATCTTGGCGTTCTTAAACTCTATTCCATTATCACTTCTCAACTTCTAAATTTTTCTTTGTAGAAGTACTTGAATCTTGGTCATCAATTTGAATAGCAGCTCTGGGACATCTGATTTATGCCTTACAAACTCATTCCAAGTATATCGTGAGTATTCATCAATTAAGACTAAGATATACTTCTTACCAGACTACCTCTACACAAAGATTAGACCACAAAGATCCACATGAAGCATATGCAGAGGTCTGACACAGGACACATATGTCTTAGTTTTGTGGGATGCTCTTTTGAGCTTTCCTATTTCACATGCAGAGCAGAAATGGTCCTTTTCGAACTTTATGGCAGGAAGTCCGTCAACCAGATTATTCTTCACAACCTTCTCTATATTTTGGAAATTAAGGTGAGACAGCTTGTGGTGCCAGAGCTAAGCTTCTTCACTCTTGTGAGATACGAGACAGAGAGTCT